CGATCAGGTTGGGAATCACTATTGAAGATATGCAATCAAGTGCATGGCTGCATGTGATCGACGCGAAGACTTCATACAATGTTTTGCTTGGGAGGCCTTGGGTACATGAGAATAAAGTAGTTCCATCTACCTACCATTAATGTTTAAAATACTACGAGGGTGAAGTCGAGAAGACGGTAGTTGTTGATGATGAGCCATTCACCGAGGCTGAGTCACACTTCGCCAATGCAAAGTTCTACTTGAAGAACCACATTGTGAAGGAGCTGAAAGCTGATGATGGCATGAAAAGCAAGAATAAAGAGCCCTCAACTAAAAGAGGAGGTGACAACTGGTGAAGCCAAAGCTGTTAGTAAGGAGGTACAACCCAACGCGAATAAATCTTATAGAGGGAATATTACGTCTTATGGCAAGAAAGTAAGTCCGGCGCTCCAATATGTCCCTAAAAGGAAGAAAGATGAAGGTGAATCATTTAATCGCCAAGCTAACATGCTAAAGGAGTTAACTCTTCCGGTCAAACGAATTGAGGCAGTAAAGTCGTCCTCAATGCCGCTTGCAGGGTTTGTAGCCCAAAATCGTTTGCAGAATGTGGCACTCCCTACAAAGCAAACAGATTAAGGTTATGATCCTAACGCTTACAAGCTATTTGCAAAAGCTGGATACAATCCCAATGAGCCGTCAAAGTTAGGGAAGCTCCCATCAGAAGCTGCAACGAGGCAACCACGTGAAGGTTTGGGATACAAACAACCGTCACCAGTGCGCATCTCAATAAGAAGGGCGAGCAGCAATTATATCACTGTAGAAGATGAATCAGCCCCTTCTAACAAGCCTTCTGTCTTTGATCGACTTGGAAAATCACCTGTGAGGACCTCCGTGTTTGAAAGATTGGGTCTACTAAAGAAGGGGAACAAGTTCCGGAGAAATTTTCAAAGCATAAGAACACCCGCTTCACCAAAATCCATGAGATCTCTAAGGATTTCCATAGTTTGGTTCCTTCTAGAATGAGGCGACAAACAAAACTTGTGGTTTCATGTAAAGAAGTACTGAAGGCAAAGCCATATACTGTGGTCTATACTAAGGAACGTGATGAAGATGAAGAAAGTGTGGGTTCTTCGTATCATGTTACTGTACAAGTCGAGAATGACATTCCATCTTCAATGGAAGATAATACAGAATTGGAGGATGTTTCGCCGTGTTATCACATATCCTTCAATGATGGGGACCCTCAAGAAGATGAAGATGCGAAAGATGCTCCACCTGAACATGAAGAAGGAGTGAAGATGACAGTTGATGCCTTAAAAGAAGTTAACCTTGGCACCAATGAAGAACCAAGACCCACCTACCTAAGTGCTTTACTAGAAGCTGATGAAGAGAGCACTTATATTGAGCTACTCAAAGAGTTCAGGGATGTCTTTTCTTGGAGTTACAAAGAGATGCCTGGCTTGGACCCGAAAGTAGCAGTCCATCACCTTGCAGTCAAAAATTGTGCTTGCCCTGTTAAACAAGCTCAAAGGCGTTATAGGCTAGACTTGGTTCCCTTGATTGAAACCGAAGTTAACAAACTCATCGAAGCTGGTTTTATTCGCGAAGTTAAATACCCAACATGGGTTTCAAGTATTGTCCCTGTAAGGAAGAAGAATGGCCAGATTCGAGTGTGTGTTGACTTTAGAGATCTCAACAATGCATGTCCGAAAGATAAATTTTCACTTCCTATTCCAGAGCTGATGATCGATGCTACTACTGGTTACAAGGCAATGTATTTCATGGACGGTTCGTCGGGCTATAACTAAATACGCATGGCACCATAAGATGAACAGAGTTTTTGCAGAAAAGAGTCTATGTAATTTGATTTTAAATTGAAGATAAAGGATTTCCGTTTCAAATTTGATCTGAAGGTCGCTAAATCAATTAGAATATTCTGTTCCTGATTTGTAGCGCGCCTAATTAGGAATGTCACACCTGCTTTTTACACACCTACCCCGAAGGATAAATGTATAAGGGAGTTTTTCCATTTAAAGTGACATTATTCGAAATGGGATTATTTATTTATTTTTAGAGTCGCCACTTGGGAAAGGATTGGCTTTTGGTGTCCCAAGTCACCGATTTAATTTAAATCCCAAATCGAGAAAAATTTCGACTTCCCAATTGGAGTCTGCGAACCAGAAATTCTGAATAAGGAATTTTGTTGACCCGAGGGAAGGTGTTAGGCACCCCCGGATCCCGTGGTTCTAGCACGGTCGCTTAAATTATTATAAATGGCTAAAAATCTGGTTTTAAACATGTTTTAATTTATGCCTTTTAAATTTAAACCGCTTTTATTATTATTTTTTAAAGAGAATTGCAACATCGTGAAAACGCGTCTCGAACCACGTCACATAAATGCACCCGCGGTTTTTGACACATTTCGACTTCGTTGAGATTTGGAGTTGGGTCACATAAATGTGACCCCGTATTTAGGAAGGTAGAATTATTAAAAGCGCGCCTAAAGCGACTAACGTCTTTTCAACTTTGTGGGAGGCCGTGGAATTCGCTAAACGGCACGCCCAAATTCTAAGGATTTAAAATACTAAGCAAGCGAGGGCCATGCATTTTAAGATTTTATTTTGGCATGGCGCACCCCAAATTATTCCAAAAGGCTTTACTCAACTAAAACAAACTACGGATATTCATATTTAAAACAAACTACGGATATTCATATTCATAGGCCAAATTATTGAATTCTTTCACTAGTAAGCTAGTACATCAATTAAGCAAAAGGATCACTGTTTATTACGCATATGACGGTAACAGCTCACCTACACGATTCAATGGCATTTCGTAATGAATTAAACCATATCTGACTACATGAAAGGCTAACTATAAGGAAAACAAAAACTAAAAAAATAAACTAAAATGAGGACAACATTAACGGAAAGGAATCCAAAAGGGATATCATGGTTTTTAAATTAATATGAAACAAGCAAAATTACACATGGGCATATAACTGGCGCAGCAAGCATGAATGAACAAAAAAAACCTTTCTCATTTTGTTTCTTCTGTCATCAGAATTATCCCCAAATCTTCATCAACACAAGGTAATGGTAGAACTGAAACTTGAGACTATAAAGGTGATTAAATAGAACACAGATATTACACATATCTACTTAAGTGTCCATTTGAAATAAGCTTAAAAAGGGTATGAAAATCAGTAGAAATCAGCTTCAAAATATAACCAATCACAATTACTAAGGCAACATGATAACAAATACATAAATTTCAAGCTATATAAAACATAGTAGAAACAACATGGAGACAGACCTCAATATAGATCGTCTCGCTGCTTTGAAATCGAAAGGAAAGATGAAATACAGCAACAAAGAATCGAACTGGTACCGCGAACCAACAACGAAACTCGAGTCGGCAACTGGACAACGACCTCAAATCGTTTCCGGCATCTCACTCCAACGCAGCTTAGTCGAAGAACGTGGTGTTGTGTGTGTTCTAGATTTCGTGTGTCTGTCCGTGTGAGTTCCGGCGAGTGGATAGTGAAGGCTGTGTGTGTCCAAATCAGAGTGAGGTCATGAGGGTCCGTGTGTGGTTGAAGAGAGCACACAGGGCCGTTGGTTGTGAGGGTGACGAAGAAGATGGAGTCTGGGTAATCGTCTGGTTTAGTTGAAGACGAAGCAATACGGTAGGGGAAGGGGGTCCCTTGGAGAAGATGAAGTCTTTTTGGTTTTTGCTTGCTGAAATTGCGGCGCTAGTGTATCCTTTTTCCAGGCGTATTTTGTATGTGTATATGGTGTGTTTGTGGTGTAGGTAGTATTACATAGGGTAGGGATTAGGTTAGGGGTATAGGACCGTGTCTCTCAGGACACACAAATGGGGATCATCAAACTGCCGATCACGGATACGCTCCAATAATGAAGAACGAGCGACCATACAAGCTAACACTCTGCTAGGCTCAGAAATGTCCAACCTCACAAATCGATTGGCCAGGGCCTGAATATCCAAAGCAAGCGGTCTNTGTTTTCAAGATTATAAAAATAAAGATAGGGTACTATTTTTTATAATTTTTTTTTTTTGAGATTAAAAATGACTATAAAATATTAATAGACCTATTTTTCGTAATTTTTTTTATTTTCTTGTAATAAAATAAAGTAAAATAGTAAAAAGTAGTTGATATGGCGATATTAGGCCTAAACTAAATATTTACATGCTAAAATGGGTAAAATTTCGGGGAGGGTCAAAAATCACATGTCGACAAGGAAGATTCAGCTACTAATAATTAGTATTTAATGAATGATATAATAATTGTAGAAAAAGTGTGAACATGGCGGGTAAATTTGGTAATAAAGTTTCATATATGGTATAGGAATGAAAAAATCCCCTGAATTAATTATATAAGTCCAACATATATGTATTAAATAAATAAGTCTTAATCCATTGGGCTAGCCCATTTAATCGGGCTAAAGTCATGAGCCCACTTCATTAAGCCCAAGATGTCATCTTCCTAAAGGCCCAGTTTGGTGCCACGTGTCAAATGACGTGGCGCGCCAAGTCAGGCGGAAGAGCCAATAGGATCATGCCACGTGTCAAAATGACAAGGCATGCCAAGTCACAGTAAAAGGCCAATAAAATCATGCCACATGTGCAAGTGACATGTTCTGGCCAATCAAACATCTCTTTAAGTACAAAAGATTATGATTCGTAGTGTGTTTATGTAGTTTCAAAAATAAAATTTTTATTTTGTAAGTCTTAAGAAACAAATTTCTGAATCCACAACAAAGAATACATGCATTCACCCTCGTATTCTGAATCCCACTATTCTTTTTGGATACAAGGAAGTAATACGTGATACAGATCAATAAGCCAATAAATAATTAGAAAGCAAACCGTTCAATATTGGCAAGGCACACACAATACTTGTTTAAATGTACTCCAAGAATAATCACAGCTTTTGCAATATGAATTCAAGAATCGTCAAAAATGGAAGACCAGGACACCAATTTTGCAATACTGAAAGGTTGACTAAGTGATGTTCGTCAACATAGAGAACAAGAAGAGGAAAGAAAGCTCAACTTTCATGAATTTAATAAGTTACAGTACTGGAATATGCAGCAACACACAGAGTTGAAGCTAAAATGGAACTCGGCCATATAAGCACAGAGCTGTTGCATCCAACTGAAATTACAATCTTTTTCATCATTGCAGACTTGCAGTTAATCCTCTTATTTGGGGAGGCATGAAACCCAAGCAACCCGGTGCCAATTCAATTCTTGCCTGATTTTTCCTACCGAGGTTCAACAAAATGCCGAAAGGGCAAAAAAAGGGGGTGGAATGATATCTAGTTTACTATTAGGCAATAACATCAGATTGATAATCCTTGATGTTACTACAAGCTTAGCCTAAGGTTTACCAGCAATTCGAAGAATAGGGTTACAACAGTATGACAAAAAAAAATCTAAAATCACTTGTAGATAAGGGCATCACGACCAGGCCCAACACCAATGTAATGGACAGGTACCCCAACAAGCTCCTCTATCCTTTCTACATATTCACGTGCAGCCTTGGGCAAGTCCGAATACTTTCTGACAGAAGAAATATCACTTTGCCACCCGGGCATAACTTCATATTCCACCTATGTAGATTGGATGAACCGAATAAATTCAGAATACAAGAAAGTACAAAATGGTAATAACAAACATGCAACAGGGGGGGATAAAGAAGATTCAATGTGCGTACTGAAGGTCTCGGGGATATGAACAGCCAATAGGGAAAAATCATGAAATATTAGAGAAAAAGACAAAAACGGAAGGAAACAAAGTATAATAAAACCCAGAAAATTCATTTTCTACCACCTTCCAATCATAGGGTAGAGGAAACCAAACTGGAGTTAACTCCTCACTAAAAACAAATCTTTCATGAAAAAGATTTTACGCTTTTCAGCGAATTCAATGTGTTAACATGACTGCATTTCCCTAAAACATTCACATGAAAGTTGGAACTAATAATCTAGGCTTCCAAACACCAAGAAATATAGAGAAAAAAAGGCCTAATGTGTCCAGGCAGTCTTTGAGTAGTTGCACTCACTTCACTTCTGGCCCACAAAATCATCACACAAAAGGATGTCGAAGAAGAAAAAGAGAAGAACTTACCTTTATTTGCTCAAGAAGACGAAGATCAGAAGGAAAAGAGTTTAATGTTGAACCATCAGGATGCCTGTAAGTAACACCCAACTGAATTTCTGATAGATCTGACAGAACATCTAGTTTTGTTAGGTTTAGAGAAGCAAATCCATTTATCTGACAGCAGAATCTCAGTGCAACTATGTCTAGCCAACCACAGCGACGTGGGCGTCCAGTAGTTGTGCCAAACTCCTGCCCAGCAAAACGAAGAAGGTCACCACCTTTGCCCATAATTTCTGTTGGGAATGGACCAGAACCAACTCTTGTGGTATATGCCTTAACCTGCAGGAAAAGCATAAGTTAAAAATGCACAATATTTGGCTGCTCTGCGCTTAAAACACAAAACACAATAAAGGGAGATTGAAGGACCATGCAGTGAATTGGTTCCTAAGAGCTAGTTGAACATCCATGAGAATTATTCATTCTTCAGTATAAAAGGAGAAAAAATATTTTAAGAAAAATCAAGTTTGCTTACCACACCAACAAGATCACCGACAACTCTAGGAGCAATGCCAAGACCTGTGCAGATTCCACCAGCTGATGGACTCGATGAAGTCACAAAAGGGTATGTTCCAAAATCGATATCCAACATTGTTGCCTGACCCCCTTCAACCAAAATCTTCTTTTTCTGAGATATAGCATCATTCATAAAGTGCACAGTATCTGTAATAAAGGGTTCCAACCTCTCAGCAAATTTCTTGTAGCGTTCCACTTCTTCCTTGAGCATGTCAGGGCCATAGTTAAAGCCTTGGAACCTTGAAGCTGCATCTGATAGTAAAAGATCAAGCTGCTGGGGGAATGTATCCATATGCCTTAGATCACTTACCCTTATACCATTTCGAATAACCTTGCTTGAATAGCAAGGCCCGATGCCTCTCTTGGTAGTGCCAATAAAGGATTTAGCTAGCTCAGCTTCTCTAAGCCCATCTACTTCTTGGTGAAAATCAAATAACAAGTGAGCACGATCAGACACCAAGATCCTTCCTTGGCAAGAGACTCCATTAGATTCAAGATTATCAATTTCTTTAAATAGTCCTGGTAGATGCACCACGACTCCGCTACCAATAACACATACCGTTTCCTCATTGAGAATCCCTGAAGGGACAAGGTGCAGAGCAAACTTCTTCCCCTCGGAATTGTAAATAGTGTGCCCAGCATTGGCTCCCCCCTGACAGCAAGAAACATATTGAAGAGCTCAGCTAGTTAACATGTTTATCTATCCCAGGCAATAATCTAAAGTGGAATGATAGGATGGTCACAAAAACAAAAGCAAATACCAAGTTTAAGACCAATTGGAATTGGAAAAAAAAATACATATAAACATTCTACAAAAATATTTGATCTAAATATTAATGAAAATTCCATAATAATGGAGAGACTCTAGAATCAAAATATAGAATTTGAAACAGCTCTACAGAAACTACAATTAAGTCTCAGTATGCATCTTTTGGAGACCTCTTGTATCCTAATTCACCCACTTACTGAAACAAAATATATCTCATGGAAATTCCAAACGACGGAGCAAGCACTGTTCTTGATATGGCCTAAAAATCACTCCAAGACTTTAGCTTTACAGTCTCAGTGTTACTCAACAAGCTATAACAGTTACTTGTTGTAAGTCAAAAACTCTTTAGGAACATAAACTCAAATTCCCTATGTCCTCTCCTTTTGAGTCTGCTCTAAAAAGAATGATACCTTGTTATATTTAGAAACAATTTAATTTTAAAATTCAGATTTTGCCATTTATGAGATAATTTAAAGTCACGCAAATGTTACGACTTGTTTTAGAGCCCAAGTTTCAAAAATCTTTCTTTTAATATGTTCAAAAAAATGACACTTTTTTAAATATAAAAATAAGTTAACTTAAAAATTTGGATTTTGCGATGATTTATAGTCACGCAAATGTGAAACCAGGCAAACAAGCTCAACAGAGGGAGGTTATAAATATATACCTGACAACGAGCAACAATATCGAAATGTTTAGCCAAAATATCAACTAGCTTTCCTTTTCCTTCATCGCCCCATTGGCAACCCAAGACGCCAGATACCTGACTCAGTGACTCAATTCGAGTCAACCCCGAGTCGCTGACTCCCTGATGCTCCACTACCGAAGCAAGCGGCTTTGTTGAACAAACAATAATTGAAGGAGCCTTATTCTTTTTCTGAAGCTGAAGGAGCCTACAGCTGTAGCTCCCACTGTAACCGAGAGCCCCACTCCGGTGAGTTGACTTCGTCGAGGTGGTGATTGGGTTGGAGTCGATCCTCAGGGTTGAGATGTTCATGGTGTTCATGGCTGCGACGGCGGCGTACGGTGGCGCTGTGCTCGGAAAAAACGAATATATGCGGAGAGACAGAAGGAGGAGGAAAAGAAGCTTTTCAAGGGTTTAAGAAAGAAAAGTTGAGAATATTTTAGGTGGGACCAATTGTTGTGAGTCGCATCAGATACGTCGCATAAGTAGAATTTACAAGGAGAATGATAATAATGGTCCTTAATAGAAAGAGTCCCTAAAATATGTAAAACGGAAAAGGGTTAAAAATGCCATAAACTATTGAAAAAGGTTTAAAAATATCTTTTATTTATTTATTGGGCTAAAAATATCTCTCCATCCATCTTTTTTGTTTACTTATGCCCTTTGACTGTTAAGTAAATGCTGATTTAAAAATAATTATTATTTAAATTCCACGTGGCAACTTCTTATTGGTCGAAATTAAAACATCTAACCTATTAGAAAGACTAACCCATATCTAACCATTTTTCGGACTAACCCGCCCCAAACATTGACCTGACCCGAATAAAAAGTTCAAAAAAAAAAAAGACACGCCGCCTCCATCTAACTCTGGGTTATCTATGCCCCTACTCTCATACTTTGGAACAAAAATACTCTGTGCCACGTGGCAACACCAGATTAAAACGACCCATTTCTTTTTTTTAGCCCGACCCCTATTTCAGTTTTTTTTTAAAAAAAACTTCAGTATATTTTGTTAAAAAACCGAAAATATTTTTTTACAGTTTTTACAAAAAACGATCAGTTTTTACAAATTTGTTTTTACAAGTTTTGACAAAAAAAAACTGCTTTAAAAAAACCTGAAAAAAAAACTGAAAAAACTGTTAGAAATATTTTTTACAGTTTTTTAAAAAAACCA